ATGTTCTAGATGCATTTTTTGCATTAAATTAATGTATTTTTGCATTAAATTTTACTATAAATTTTTGTATTGGTGTCTATGATAAATACATATTGAAATTACAATTCTGTGTATATGTTATTTTAAAAATACCAGATGATCAGCAAGCTTTGAACTCAATCATGCAAGATTTGGCTGTTCTTCATAAGGCCAGTCGACCAGCATTATCCTTACAGGAAACCAGAAAAGCAAAATCCTTATCACCAAAAAAGCAGGTATTTGTCTCAATAATATTTTAATAAATATATATTGTTATTCTATGAATTACTTTCTTTGAATATGCTAATCGTATAGAGGGTTTGTTTAAAGTGATTAGCTTTTACACTTTCGAATCAAGTATTTTGTTATTTGTCATACATTTTTGCATAGGGTGTCTGTTTTGTTTTGTTTTTTTAAATGGTAGTTCCATTTAATGTGGTAACGTCTCTCTAGAGTTGATATTTCATCCAAGTCTTAAGGCACGTAACACACGCAAATGGTTTTTATTTAAAATAGTCTATTGTTCTGTATATTTACAGATGAAGATCATTTTGATTCTTTTTTTAATTAATTTTTATTGGAGTATCATATAAAATTTGTTTGGGATGTCTAACATAAAAAAGTGGAAATATAGTATTCTATATTGCCCTCTAACAGAATTAACAAATGTCGCAGACCCATGATGCCATCACTAATAGATCTTGGTGCTCTTTCCTCTTGAGCCCAGATTCAGCAACCTAATTCTCAGCTCAGCTTTTTGGTAGACACTTTCAATTGATTGGAGTTGACACTGAAAATGAAACCTCCTTCCCCCTCTGCTCTACTTTAAATGAGTGACTAAGAAAAAAAAAAGTGATTTAGAAATTCTGGAAATTTTATCTGATCTCTGAAATGATTTATTATTTCATTACAGAATGATGTCCGAGTCAAATTTGAACACAGAGGAGAAAAAAGGTAAGGAAGGAAACATTATATGTCAGTTTATTGATATAATCAAATGCATGTCCTAGTTAAGACTATTAGAGTTTGCTTTTAGATTTTAATGAAGGTTCATGGCTCACAAATTGAGAATGGAATAGTCCTTGGTAACTGTAATTTGTACTTGGACTTAAGATAGAACCTGTCAAAATTCAGGCTAAACATCAGAAATGATTAATGTTTTTACTTTGCAGTACTAGGAAGTAAATAAGGTCATTGCATAATGCAGTTTTAAATATTACCATTTTTTAAAATTTTTACTCAGTGGAAATTAAATGTATTTCTCCTTATTATAATTGTATCATCCCTTCAGATACTATATAGAATTTAGGTGCGTGGACTTAAATTCACAATTTTGATTATTCTCAAGAGACTTTAATCATATGACCTGTATTTAATTAATAACATTGAGGAAAGTGAGATGGAATGGTGACTACAAATTACTTAGTAGAGGTGGAAGCCTAGCCTTCAACTGGGTATCTGTATCTCAGTGGAATGGTGGAAGTTGTAGTGGTGGTGGTTGACAACAGAATTGCTAAACAAGACCTAATAGGAGTTAGAGAAGATGGGATTTTATTTCTATTATTAGTGTCTCATTAAATTAATTTAATGAAAGATCTATCCATTTTAAGAAATTTTAAAAGGCTCATAAATCATACAACCTGAAGATGTAAAAATGATTTACATGGAGATGTTTAAAAAAAAGAGGTGGGGGGGACATACCAGATATACCATACATGTATTGTCCAATCTACTTTTTTCCTATTTACAATTCTTTATGGATATTTTCTCAATTTTATTTTTATTCATTGAGCACTATTTATTGAGTACTTACTATATGCTAGGCTATGAAGGGAATAAAGTAAGTGAAACAGACATGATCCCTCCTGTTACAAAACCTACGGTCTAGTAGAGTGTCTCCAAGCTTAGATGCATGGTCCCCAGGGGCAACACAAGTCAATCCTTTGTGAAATACAAAGAAAATTCTAGAATTTAAAAATTTTAACTCTTTAAAGATATTTATCTGGGGGAGATATTCTTACACGATATATATATATATGCTCAGAAATGTTGAGTTGATAAGAGTATAGGAATCAAAATTTGGATCCCTGGAGAGCAGCTTTATTCTTTTTAACAGTTTCGATGCATTTCATCGTATGGATGTCACATAGTTAAGTTTAATCACTTTCCTCAATGAACATTTTACATTGCTCTTTTATGTTCATATAACACTTGCAGCACAAATTATAAAGTGCAGAACATTTAGAGAATTTCCTTTTTATAATTTTTATTAAGATAGAACAAACTTCAGAGTTCTTGAACTTTGTGTTGAAATATTGGTGCACTTGATCAAAAATGTGCCATTGTAGTGTTTAAGTGAATGTTTACATTTTAACTTAATTTTATATTTCTCTATCCAAGTGATAACTATTGCAAGTAAGTGTTTAACTATGCCTAAGAAAATAAAATATATAAAAATTCTGTCTATATAGAATCCTTCAGTTTCCCAGACCAGTTAAACTGGAAGATCTGAGGTCTAAAGCTAAAATTGCCTTTGGACAGTCTATGGACCTACATTATACCAATAATGAGGTAAACATGTACAGTTTAACTTTCAATAGTTCTTATTTTGGAAAACAGTGTGTTTATTTAAGAGATTGTTTTAGGATGGTTGTGCTTTTATTTGGGTCTTGATAAGGATATGGTATTTTAGAGAGGAATAAGATAACAGAAGTAAATTTTAAGTTATTAAAATGAGTTTTTTCATTGTGGAGGATATTGAAAGGTGCTACTGTGCAAATAATTGAGAATCTATTAAAGGAGGAAATATATGTATTACTTAGAGGTTTGCTGCTTATTTGTGTTTTATTTTTACTCTTTGTTCTTTATTGATGAACTCTCTTTTCTTTTCATACTGTATACTTGTCTACAGAGTCAACAGAGCTTTGGTAGTTGGACAGTTTAGTTAAAGCTTAAAGGATTACTTTCATGTTTGTAAGGACATGATTAGATCATCACGTTTATGTTGGGGGTCAGTACGTGTAATCTTAAGGGCTCACCGTGGCATTCAGGAGCTCTGTGTTCTGGGGAATCCCTTTTGAACCTTCTGTAAAATGTGGATTGCAAATCTCTGAGATTTCTTTCAAGTCCTGTGATCTCAGATCAAGATCTTGAGATTTAAAAAATTTTAGGGACAGTTTGGTTAATTTGTTATTGTTCCCTGTCGAAAAATACTGTTGAATTTGCCAGGCATGATGGCTATGATTTATGAATTACAGCCCCTCATGGAGTTTATAGACTTGTGGTAGAAGCAGACAGTTAATAATTGATTTGTTTAAATATGTGAAGTTCTTTGAAGGAAATGCATAAAGTGTTATGATAAAGGACAAAGGCAAGGGCAGTAGGTGTCCTATTTAGGTAGTACTAAGGAAGAGCTGAATGAGGTGGTAATATTTAATTGTTGAGATTTGAAGTATGAAAAGCCAACCCTGCAAAGAGTTTACGGGGAACAACATTCCTGACAGAGAGAGCAGCTTGAGAGCAGAGCACACAGAGATCCTAAGATGGAAAAGACTTGTGTGTCAGGAATAGAAAAAGTGTCAGTGGGAATGGAGTGACGGTGGAAAGTTCAGTAAAAATTAATTTGAGAAAATGTGAAAGTACTTTGCAAATGTTAAAGCATTGTGCTAATAAAAATATTAGAAATATTAGATTTTCAAATGAATTATTGTTATTTTAAAGCAAAAGAACATGCTAATGTAGCTTGTCTAAAGAAACCACTTATAGCTGAAAGTGGAAAATATTTTGATAAAGTAAAAATCCATATCCAAATAATATTTCTGAACAAAGTGATGAGTATTATACTGTGGTAATACCTTAAAATGTTATTTTTCAAATACTTTTTTGGGTTCTCAGTTAGCCATGAACACCTCTTGTTGCCTGGCCCTATCATGATACTTATTTCTGTTTGTGCTGGCCTGATTTCCATCTGCCAGCCCCTGAGACTCTGAGGGCTTTTCAGAGGTATGGCTGTAGGGTGTAAGCTGAAGTACATATGGCGGTGGGGAATTGGGATTGGCGATATGAGGCTCAAGGATGTGGTGGGAGGTGGGGATGGATGGGCCCCACTTACCCACGGTGGTAACTAGCTGGGTAGGATACCCTTTATGGGGCTCCTTCTCTTCCCTGTCTTCCCCATTCCCCGATCAGTGTTTCCTAGTATCTTTTATAAACATACTTGAATCTTTATCTCATGTTATGATTCTAAGGAACCAAGTTATATCTTTGTTTTGGTTTTGTTTGGTCTAAAATTGTATCATGGAAAACTTTCAAATGCCAAGATACATTGACTACAATATTGTCTTGATCTGTGAGCTTCGTAGTTCTGTCAAGAAAAATGAAGTTAGTTTGACATGATTTGTTCATATTGTACCTGTCTGAGCTCCTAAAATTGCTCTTTCCTTTCTGAGTTCTCCCAATTTGTTTATAGGCATACCTTGGAGATACTGCAGGTTCAGTTCCAGACCACTACAATAAAGTGACTATTGCAATACAACTAGTCACATGAATTGTTTGGTTTCCCAGTGCATATAAAAGTTATGCTTACATTATAATATAGTCTCTTAAATGTGCAATAGCATTATGTCTAAAAAAAAAACTTAATAATACTTTTATTGCTAAAAAATTCTAACCATCATCTTAGCCTTCAGCAAACTGTAATCTTTTTGTAATAGTAACATCAAAGATCACTGATCATAGATCACCATAACAATTATAATAATAATGAAAAAGTTTGAAATATTTGGAAGAATTACCAAAATGTGACACAGAGACATAAGGGGAGTAAATGCTGTTGGAGAAATGGTGCCAGTAGACTTGCGGCAGGGGTGCCACAGACCTTCAATTTGTAAAAAACACGGTATCTGAAGTGCAGTAAAGTGAAGCACACTAAAACAAGGGGTGCCTGCATATAATTTTTTCTAGAGTTTTCTTGAGGATTGACATCAAGCTAATTGATCTGTAGTTTTAGGAACCCTCTCCCATTGTCTAAAAATTGGAAAATGTCTCCATTTCAGTTTCTTTTTCTCATGCTTTCTAAAGGATTTCTGAGAGTGGTTTTGCCATTATGCTGGGTGGCCTCTTGGCAGAAATGTGGTGGAGGAGGCATTGGGGTAACATTACATTGTTTAAAATTGTCTTGCAACTCTGAGTTTCTGTGAGAATCTGTGATTCTGTAAGTTAACCGTGTCTGATTCACGTCATGACAAGCCCAGGGCATGTCCTTGGACACTGGGGACACTAGGGAAA